TTCAACCTAGCTTTTTGTCATTACTCTTCTGTCATTGTCTATCATTCATGATCATCCTCTTTCTAGTGACAAAATTATAATCTCCCACTAATAGTGCCCTCTCCATCTCAATCGATGGCTATTTCATAGAATTCAAGTGAAGCCCTAGTAATGAGCAATGTCGTTTGATGGTATCAACTGGCTATCAACCAGTGTCCACTAGTGTTGAGGGTCGATGATCAACTGTTGTTGCCATTGATTTAGCTCAACAATCGTTGCCAAGCCTCTGCATATTTCTATCGACAGCGTGGTAGAAATTACTTCTTTGCATCATCAATTTCTACAAATACAGTTGCCACCCAAGCCATGATTGACAATCAGTAGTATCGTGCAACCACAAATCATCGATTGACAACCACCAAAGCTACTGATTGACTCCAACAGTACTTGCAAAAGCCAATCGCTACATCCAGCCAATAGGTGCCCTAGTTAGAGCAGCTATGTCCTATATAGTAATTTTAAAAAGAAAAAAAAAGTACTTCTATATTTTTACATCCAAATAGTTCAAAAGCACTTCTTAAAGTGAAATAAATTCTGCTTCTAACAAAATTGCTTTTGAAAAAATTATTTTTGAATAAGAATTTTTTAAAAAAAAATTAAAATACACCCTAACATCTTAAAAATTGCGGAAATTTTAACAAAAATTTCAAATTCAATTAGTGGAACTAATATAATACAAAAAAATTAAAATGAGTTAAAATATCAAAGAATTAAAATTTATTTATATATATCATTCCTACGGGAAAATTTTTGAAAAGGGTAATAATAAATCACCGGTATACCGCATGAAGGAAACAACGTTGACCCTAGCCATGTGTCATCTCCATAGTAATTTCAATGTTGTAACAACCCAAATTTTTTAATTTTAATAAGTTCAAGGACTAAATTGAGGGAATTAAATTGTCGAAGGGCTGAAGTGGAAATATCTCAGGGACCTTTCTGTGAGAGACACAAAGTCTAGGGACCACACTTGCAATTTTCAGAAGTCTAGCATGAACAGTGGCCGAATGATGATTTCTCACCAAATCGGCCACGTTTTGTGATGATTTCGACCAATTTCTCACGCCTTTGCGTGTGCTTTTGAAGGCTTGACCGAACCCCTCAGTTTATTTCGGTCTTGAGTGAGAGTGGGCGAGGAGTTTCAAGCTTTTCTGGGTCATCTGGTTCAAGAGGGAGCCAAGGGGAGAAATCTGGATTTTGGAGGTTGTTGAGTTGTTTTGTTTCGATTAATCACTGCCGTGAGGGTCGCTGGGGTCGGAGTTGTGGACTGGGATGCTCAATCGGCTGAGGTAAGCTCGTTTCTTGCCATTTATCCTCATTTTTTTCAATTATGGGTCTGTTTAGACTTGGACAGCTGCGTCGGGTTCGTCTTCCAGGTGAAGACGATAAGACCCGGACGGATCCGAGTCTCTGTGCTGGGCTGGTCCAGGCCATTGGGCCCGGGCTTAGCCTAGTTGCCTTACCAGCCTGCGGGCTTGAGCCACGGGCCATTGAAAAGAAAAAGAAGGGGATTGGGCCAAGGCCGTGTGCTGGCCTAGGTAGTTAGGCCCAGCGAGTTGGGCCGAGTTGACTCAGAAAGTCAACTCGGCTTTGGGTTGTTGAGGCGAGTCAACCCATTCTTGACTTAGTGAGATTAGGAGTATGCTATTCTCGAAGATAGCAGGGGTTGGAATAAGGAGGATTTGGGGATAGCTGGGGATTAGATATTCCAAAATTTACTAATTTAATATTTGGATTAGGGTTTTGAAGGGTGAACCGACCAGGGTTGACTGAGGGTTTGACCAGTCGGTTCAGTGGTCAAATGGGCTTGGATTTGGGAAGTTAGACTGGTTCTGGATTCGGGAAGAAAAGATCTATCAGACCAAGTGGGTTCAGAAAATTTTGGATGGCCGGTTCTAGGTGAACCGATCGGTTTAGTGTGGTGTCCTTTGGGTGACCGGTTCACTAGTTTTTAGGCTAGTTCTTGGGGAAGTTGAACCGGTTCCTAGTTCAACATGATGAGACCTAGATAACTGTGTAGTTTGGTAATTTTTGGGTGTCCGGTTCAAGGTGAACCGGGCTCGGTTTGTGTGCCAGTGCTTAGGATTAGGGTTTTTGGTCCAGTTCAGGGCTGGTTCAAGGGTTTTCTGGTTGATTCAAACTAGTTTCTAGAGTTTTTAGGCCTTCTTAATCCATTTTTGAGGGTTTTATGGCCAATTGAGTCGAGTTAGAAGTAGTTTTAAATCGGGTTAAACTAGTTTGAGAGTTTTGAAGGCCAGTTCGCTACAGTTCAAGGGTTATGGAGGCTAGTTCTATAAGACGAAGGGTGGTTAAGTAGAGTTGTTGAGCATTAGTGAGTCAGGTGGATCCCAGTGCTAGGTTTTGGTGCCTCGAGATGCGTGCTAAAGGTGTCGAGATGGGATTTTAGGCTAGTTTTGGCTATCAAGCCCATGTTCTTATGCCGGTTTTGGTATTGGTGATGGTTTTGTGTGATTTTGATTGCAAATTTGTGGGCAAGGGCACACCTAGACCACTGAGTCAAGCGAGGTGATTTGAAACTCTTTTTTGGCTCAATGTCTGTACTGTGAGTGATGGTACCCTTTCTATGCATGTATTTTCATACTGTGGTTTTTTAACATGATAATTATGTGATTTAGAAACTGTATTTTGATTGTATGTTATACTTGGGATATGTGTTATGTGTTTTATGAACTGTCGGTGATATATATTGGTATGCAATATTAGTTTTTGAGATGTAAACTGTATATGTGTATGTATACTTGTTTTGACTTGTATGTGAGGATGGTATTGTGTGATGTGATATGGTTTGGGGACGGCAGGAACTCGGTTAGAGTACAGTGATCCATAACGTCTAGTGGTGAGTCAGCCTGAGTTCGTGATGTGATTTGGGGGCGGCCGGAACTCGGCTAGAGTACGATAATTCATAGAGTCCAGTGGTGAGTCGGCCTAGGTCGTGTGAGGTGATTGCAATGCTAGGAATTCGGCCGGAGTACGGTGATCGTAGTGTCTAGTGGTGAGTAGGCCTGGGTCTAGTGATGTGATTTGATGTTTGGTTTGACAGTATCCTTAAGTGTATTTTTGATATGTTTTACTGATCACTGTATATGTATGGTTTTGTACTTGTGGCATGATGCATATCTCAACATGCATAAATTAGGTTTTGTACTTGTGGCGTGACAAATGTCCTCGTGCCATCTCAAGTTAATTTGGTTTTTTTATTTTTACCTTTTTGTGTGCATTTTTCTTGGGAGTTTGGATAAATTTTACTTCATGATAATGTCAATTTATTCATGGGCGTATGGTATTTGTTTTTTAAAATTTTTGTTTTTCTACTTCAAAAACTGTTTTTAGTGACAACTTTGCAATTATGTTATTGTTCGGTAGGTTATATAGGACAAGGTAAGATAGGGTAGCTTGGTTAAAATATCCTGACTGCATAGTGATTTAGATAATTATTTTATTTGGTACATTTGAATAAGAATCTAGATAAAACATTGGATAAATATATAAATTACCAACATAACTATTTTAGCATCAGCGATCTATGGTGGTTTGCGATGGTAGATGGAGGCAATTGGCGGTGGCCAAATGTGGTAGTTGGCGTCAATTGGCTATGGTCAGAGATAGGACGATAACCAACAATTGCTGGTGGTGGCTAGAAGTAGCAATTGATGGTGGCTGGTGGAGGTCGGCACCAATTGGAAGTGGGCAAAGGTGATCAATAGTGGCAGCCGACGACAGCTAAAGACGGCCGAAGGTGACTACCAATGACGGTTGGCAGTAGTTGGCAATGGGTAGAAATGGCAGCTACTGATGGTAGTAAAAATAGTATTATTCAAAGAGATTAGATAATGGTCAAATACAATTATTCTATCTGTCTCTCCAATATAATTTAGCCAGATTTGGCTGAATAATTATCTAACCTCTCTCCTACCTATATTTTATTTAATTTTTTCTATCTAATCTACCGAATATAGATAAGAGCGGATAAATTATTTTTATCCACCCTTATCCGGGCTACCAACAAGTCCAATGTTTTATATTTTTAGTGTTCTTTCGCAATAATTTTAAAAAGTAAAAAACTTCTTCGAGAAATAATACCAAAAATCACATATGCTGTTGTAATTTCATTTTTTATCGTATCATTTTCTTAATTAATTAAAAGCGACAAAGCAGAAAAAAGGAAAAAGAATAATTATCTAACTTGTTTATTTTAGTAAAATGAAATTCCATTAGTAAATAAGGACGAGGTGGCCTCTTGGCTAATATTTCCATCATCCGTGACTTAAATTTATCACTTCGTTTTTTATATCACACATTAAATGATTTTCTTAATTTAACATTATATGATATATAAAAATACTAAAAATTTATTAAATTATTATAAGTTACATTAAATTTTATGCAAATGTGAAGAAAAATGAAAGAAAGTAATCAATGATTGCCAGCATCCAAACACCTAAGGGCACGCTTGCCAATTATGAACAATTCAATGGTCACCTGTCCTGCGAAACTCATTAAATTGGTGCATGAAAATGACATTTTCATCCACTTTCTAAAGGGTGAACAGCCAACCTTTTATATAATATCTTGGATATATAAGGCTGATTGCCACTCTACGACTTCTCGATCTCTATTATATTGTTGAAATTATGGATCTTTGAAACCTCACCTCTTCCAACCAATCAGAGACTAGCAAGATGAAGACCTCATAGACTACAAGGTCAAACCCTTTATCCGCCACAATTGAATGGTCAAATATCATAGCTAGGGGAATATATGTATTTGAAGGTTATCACCAATGGTGGTAGTGGTAGAATTAACTCTCCCTTGCAAACTATAAAACTCTGCCATCTCTCAGTGTTTCCCATTGGAACTCAATCAAGCTTGTTCTCTCTCTCTCTCTCTCTTCCTTCCGTAGATTACAGAACCTTCCAGCAGGATCTTTCTCATCTTCAAACATGGGGGAAGCTCCGGAAGTGCAAATGCAAATTGTGGGTAAGTCTTCTCCAAATATCTACATAACTCCGGAAAAGTAAGTAGAGTCCTGTAATTGAAATCAAGTTTCTTGGCTTATCAGATGATAATATAACAACAAATTAGGAAATTAAAACCCAAGAAGAAAATGTTATTCACTCTCTCTTTAATATTTTATTCTCTCTAGAGGAAATGCTCACTTCTTTCCAAAAATATCATATGATGGCCAAAGCTTAACTTCCAATTATTGGCTTTTAAGGCCAGATGTCTCTTGAAGTGGCTCTTAAATTAGAAGCAGTTTACGGTGTGAAGAAAAAAAGAATATATGAAGATTAGATCCTTGGGGTTTCACAATCCATTCCGCAAAGAATTTCATAATTGGATCAGTTTCAGTTTTTTCTTTTTACACCTTCTGGTTGGTTTCAGCTATGCAAGAGACTTCAAGTAGGGAGACAAGAAAGTAGTATACGATATTAATGTCTCTTTCTCGTGGTCTTTACAGTGCAGGAAACTAAAGAAACATCCTCAAGTTCTGCTATTAGGAACGCCAACCACCATGCCTCTACAGTTCCTCAAGTACAGAGGTGGCTTAAAATTGCGTTCTACTCGATATTCGTCCTTGCTGGCCAGTCTGTAGCCACACTCTTGGGGAGATTGTACTTCGAGCAAGGTGGCAATAGCAAATGGATGGCTACACTTGTCCAAACCGTTGGCTTTGTGATCCTCTTCCCCTCCTCCTCGTCTCCTCCCCAAAACCTACCCTGCTGGAGAGGCAAATGAACATCCAAACACGCTCTCCACCCTTCTCCTTGTATCAATCTACTCCTCATTTGGGGTGTTCCTAGCAGGGGGCAGCATGTTATTTGCGGTAGGACTCCAATATCTCCCTGCCTCCACATTTTCCCTCATCAGTGCAAGCCAATTGGGATTCAATGCCCTCTTCTCCTTCTTCCTCAATTCCCAGAAGCTCACTCCTTTCATAATCAACTCTCTGGTCGTCCTCACCATCTCCTCCACTCTCCTTGTGTTCAACACTAGCTCTTCAGGTGGCGCCACTCAAGTCTCCAAGCGGAAGTACACCATAGGTTTCTTGTGCACTCTTGCAGCTTCTGCAGGGTACTCCTTGATGCTCTCTTTGTCACAGCTCTTCTGCAGGAAGATTCTCAGGAAATCAACATTTGATGCGATAATAAGGATGATAATCTACCAGATGCTGGTGGCCACCTTTGCAATTGTGGTGGGGCTTTTTGCGAGTGGAGAGTGGAAAGGACTGAGGAAGGAGATGGACGAGTATGCACTTGGAAAGGTGTCATATGTCATGACTCTGGTTTGGACAGCTATTTGCTGGCAAGTCTTCTCAATTGGCGCAGTGGGCTTGATTTTCAACGTGTCCTCTCTCTTCTGTAACGTGATTAGTACTTTGACCCTGCCCATTGTCCCTGTCTTTGCTGTTATCTTCTTCCATGACAAGATGGATGGAGTGAAGGTGATCTCCCTGCTTCTGGCAGTTTGGGGCTTTGTTTCATACATCTATCAGCACTACCTAGAGGATTTTAAGAGCAAGGTTGAAACTAGACCTGAACCTCCTGAGGTTTCATCCATTGAAAGTAGCTAGCAGATGACTTGAAGGATCTCGCAGTTCTCTTGAACACCTCTAATTCCACAAGAAGAATAGCTGCGAACTTTGGCACATCCGACTTTCTTCTTGGAAAATTGTCATCTTTTCCTAACCTGTTTAATTAACTACGAGCTGCAAATCAACACTAGAAACAGAAGTATATGCAGTGTCCTGAAAGTTAGAAGAAGGAAAATGGTAGTAGCTTTATGCTCTTTGATAGTAAGAGGCCGCCATGGCCCTCCAAGTGCTACATGCCGGAGGGTTTCATTGTAATCAAGATTTCCATATGATATATACATTTTTAAGTACATGAAAGATTATCATAGTGTTACCGTGGGATGAACATGCACAACTAATTCAAAATCTTTGAATAAAGAAAGTTCCCTCACAGATAATCTAAACCAGAGGACATTGCACCTAAATAATGTGTTAGAGATTTTTAGTTGGACTAGGCAAACAAGAGGCTCACACTAACAGACAGATAAAGCAATGAAATGGAGCACTTACAAACGTGTTTGAGAAAGAAATTGTAATTTGAGAAGACAAGGGATTAAATTGAATGACATAAGATGTGGGGACATTTTTAAATTTACCAAAGATGGGGGATTAATTTGCAACTAAAGTGAAATGTTGGACAAGGGTCATAGAAGGATGAGAGTGGATATTTGAGAACATGCAGGGGAAGAAACTGTGCTTTGAATAAGAAAAAGGGTAAAAATAAATCAAATTGGAAATACTTTGGGCCATTTTGTAAGTTGGACAAAGTGGAGGGGCCAATTTGCAAAAATAGTTTCTTAAATTGAAAAGGATGCATTTTCTGGAAATAAGAATGGCAATAACAAAAACGTTTTACCTCAATTTTCTATGAGACTAGGACATTGCCCTTTGGATTTTCGTAGCAAAGAAAATGCTTTTGGAAAAGGGAGCACAAAAAACTCAAATGGTTTTGGCCTTGTGGAGAAGATGCATACAAAAAGGTACTTAACTGGATTTAAAATGATGGAGAAAATGCACATGGTAGTTTCATGACTAGTTTTTGAAAACAAATTTTTAAATAAAAACCTCCCGTACTTAAAAAAATGGTTGATGACAAAGCTAAAAAATCCAAAACTCAGGTTGGTTTTACAGGAAAACCCTACAAGCGCTGGGTCTCTGTAGAAAATTTATCAAAATCCATGAAAGCCACCGCTCAGCTTTTGCATCCGTAGGAAGCTCAGAAAATGTAATTTCTCCCAAACTAAGTTACATGGCTATGATTTTCAAGTACAAAGTAGTTTTCCAGTTATAAATTTAAACAAAATTGGTTAGGCGCATTTTATTTATTTTATTGGAGAGAATTATCCACATTTGGTAAAATAGTTAAATCCAGACATCGTTTGGGGAATAACTTGGACCCGGGCCCATGACCCACTGTAAAAAACCTTACTTTGATGACTTTCCAAGCAAGGGTGTTTGTCATTTTTTGGAAGAACATAAAGGTATAAATTAAAGTTTGAAACAAGAATTGGCCAGTACGTTTGTAATCATGGTTATTAAAATTGTGCTTTTAAATATAAAAATGTATGCTTTTTACACTTTTATTCATATCATACACTTATGATTACACCCAAAATTATTTTTGAGTAAAATCTTGTCTTATAACGGTAAAAGTGCACTTTTACTATCCACTTTTACGCGTTTACATTTAAATTGAAAATTTGTCTATTTGGACTATTTTTTTTTCTTATGTTAGTCCATGGCTTATCTCTTCTTTTTTCTTAGGGTTGGTGGTATTTAAGTAACAAGGTAGAATTGACAACTACTGTTATGATAGCAAATTGTTTTATTTTTTTTATTGGGTAAACACCTTTTCATTCTCTCAAGATTGCTATACTGCATTTTTTTTTTCTCTCCTTTGGGGTTTTGTTTCTAATTTTTTGGAATTTTTTTTCTTCTTCACATGTCGAAAAATATATTTTTCTCTTTTTCCCTTAACTTGGAAAGGTATCAAGTTTTTAGAAGTGCTAACTAACAAAAGCATGTTTTTAAGAAAAATCTCAAAGTGCCAATATGGGGTAAACCTCCTAAAGTTATTGGGAGAAAATTACTTGCTTTTGGTATTAGTAAGGTCTCATCTGATTGTATATCCTTCTATATCATCTTTTTGGTATTAAGGAATAGAAGATTTCGTAGCGACAAAATAAATCTGAAATTGTTTGCACAAAAAAATACTATTTTAGTTATTTTTAGTCAAAGAAATACTTCATTTTTAACATTTAGTGGTCATCTTTATGTAGAGATACAATCAATTATAATTATCTGTTAAAGAGAACAAAAGAAAATACATGTTTTAACTTCATAAATTTATATACATAAATATTTTTTATACATTAGATAAAATCTTAATTATTATGTTTCCGCTTTTACGTGATTCAAACTCTTTTAGGTAAAAATTCGTTTTTGATAACTTTATTCATAATCACGGGTACAAATTTTCATAATTCAAATGATTAAGTGCATTTGTGTCAATTCTCTTGAGATATTTTCAGAAATGCCATAAATTTCTTATTAATAATTTTTTGGGCACAGTTATTGTATACTCAAACATCTTTACCATTGGCCATTAACCAACGTCCTTTGGATTTTTTTATCTTATCAACTCGGTGATTATTTATCCGAAACGAAGAAAGAAAAAAAAAAGAAACAAATAATGGTTTTTCTATTTTTTTCTATATTCAACTACATTCAGCATTAATTGAAGTAATCACAGTATCCTTGCATAAGAAAGAAGTACCATGTTATGATATATTTACACGTAACACATAGGACATTACAATGGTGAAGCTTGAATAATTTTTTGAAGGCGGTCAAAATATTTACATTTAACTGTCAAAAATTTATTTATATATATATATATGCCTAATTGTCATTTTTATTATTTCCAAACACATGTCTTACTGCTAATAATAAGAAAATATTACCTAAATTGGAAAATAATAAAAAATAAACAAGTAGAAAAAGGCAAGTAAAATAAAAAATTTGTGAGAAATGAATATGAAGAGCAAAGAAATAGTGACAAATTTGTGTATAAGAAAGTAAATGAATATTGTTTATTATCTGTTTATTTTTTTAAACAATATTTTTATATAATATCACATTTATATTGTGGTCAATATTAATTTATTTATCATTTAAAAATAGGCTCTTAATATTATTTTTTAAAGTTTTTTTAAACTCTTAATTGACTCTCCTATCTACAAATTTATTTTAATGTATTTGTAAATTTATATATCATTCATGCAAGTCCTCCAATTGATGTAAAAAATAAATAAATAAAAATAAATAAAAATTGACACACACTTGCACACACGATCAAAATACACCCTTTGTCATCCTTACATCAATCTATCTCTCCTTCAATGTGGGAAATGAATAGCTCCCAACCTTTATATTCCCTCCATCTATGCAACCATCCAATTGGCGTTCAATTCCTTCTTTTCTTTCCTTAATTCACATAAGCTTACTCCTTCATATTCAACTCTCTAATTGGAGTCAACACCTCCTCCACTCTCCTTGTCATTAATACCAGCTCAGCAGGATCTTTGATCTCCAAGAGAATTCTCACACTTAGTTTCTTGTACATTACTGCTGCACATGCCAGCTTTTCCTTGATGCTTCCTCAGGCAAATCCCCTACCCAGAGGTGTTTAAAAGATCTTTTGGAGTGATAGTAAGATGATAATCTAGTAGCAGCTGGTGTCTAGCTGTGCCATGGCGGTGGGACTTTTCACGAGCAAGGCATGGAAAGGGCTGAGTAATGAGATGAATGAGTTGAGGAGGCAAGGGTGTCAACTTTCATGACTAGCGCGGACAACCATCCTGCAGGCGGATATCCTTGGGGTTGTAGTGTTGGTGTCTTTGTTTCCTTGCTCTCTATAATGTGATTGGTACACTTCACTTGCCTATTGTCCTGTCTGCGCCGTTATCTTCTTCCATCACAAGATGAATGGACATTGAAGATGCTCTAGCTTCTGGTGTTTGGGGCTAAGGGTCAGTATTAGTCTAACGAGGAAGCTCATGAGCGTACCACAATTCTCACCATCAATTCCTTATTCCTTTTTCTTTTTCTTTTTTTTTTTATGGGTGAAATCAGAAGATGAAATGTTGTTGTAGACGTATGCACGCAGTAATGTTTTATCTTACATACATTAGGTGGGTGAGGCAAGTTCTGCGCAGATAGAAATGCTTCTAAAATGCCAAAATACCTCTTTATAATTATACATATTTAAAAGACCAATTAGTCCTATTCTTATAATTTTTATTTGATTCATTCACATTTAACAGCAGAATCTCAGAAGTAGTCTAGTTTACCCTGAAATTTTCTACTGGAACAACGAATTTTCAATAAAACATCAGTTCATGTTAATTGCAAGCTTCTATATTTAAAATGTTCTAACAAAGCTAGTGGTGATAAGTTTCTAGTAAAATTGAAGTTCTATATACATATCGGGAAAACAATAAAAACAAAAATCGTCCTTTCATTGAGAAAGAAGTTTGCCAAGCTAATGTCTAGCACAATTAGCAAAGAACATGGTTCACCCATCAAACCTTAGTTACTGTGGAAAGCCTGTAACTATAACAGTCTTATCGGAAGATGCATTACTTTCACCTGCAACAAGTACCGTTTAAGTGTTTTAACAGCCGCACTGAAATCATGTTTTCTCCTAAGAGAACATCATCCTTTGTTCATGCAGGTATGCGAAATAATGCACGGAAAATATGCACCACAACTCCTAAATCCCCAACAAACAAAATGCGAATAAATGAAAAATCACCCTCCAAAGCATATTGAAGTTAGTTGTACCAAAAGTTTCTGTAAAGACAATGCCCTCCTCTGTTTTCTCTGGAGCATATGCGACTTGACAGAAAATTTCAAACTGGGGCAGCACTTGAGGGCTCCAACCGCACGTTGCAGGTAAACTCTTGTAAGCAACTCACAATCACCCATCTCTAATCAAA